TTTTTGTTGTTATATACCTGGATGACTGAGAAAACAAACTTTGTGTTTTTGAAACCATTAGTGAAAAGGCCAGACTTCAGGGGTATCTGAAGCAGGCTTTAAACACAAGAGTCAGGGTGGCTTCTGGGTAATACCAGATGGCTAAGCCTCAGACTGACGAAGCCTCTTGGATGAGGGGCGAAACGTTTCTTTTTAACAAAAAAAACGAAGTCCAGATGACATGATTCAACCTTTTTTGTTGTTGTTATATTTATTCTAACTATTGTTATGTTTATTATAACGTTATTATATTTATTATAACTTATGTTATATTTATTATAACAGTTGTAGGGCTGCAAAAACGAATCGATAAAATTGATATAAATCGATGATTAAAAGTGTTGGCAAAGAATTTCATTATCAATTTGTTGTGTCGCGCGATGAAGCATCTCTCATGGTGCTGCGGAGCCGTTTTGTTCACGGGCAGTTCATTGTCAATACTGACTGAATGAGTAAATAAAAATTTTTAAAAACTGCAGCGCGAGTTGAACAGAGCGGGGTGGGGGGTGGGGGGGAAGCAGAGCAGGGGCTGTTTTCAAAGGAAATTAAATACATTTTACAAATGACAGACGCAGAGAAAACTGTTCGACCCAAGTCCTTCAAAGTGTGGGAGAAGTTCACAAAGATAAAAACTGAGAAACATGCAGCTTTGAAAAGTGACGACACGACACGGGAGAACCACGGAGATAAACGTAAACATGTGGGAATCACGAGGAGGAGGAAGGAGCTGCAGCTGATACAACTCTTCATGTGTTGCAGGTGAGTCTCTACAATTTAACACTTTGTTCTGTTTCAAGAGAGAAAACGTAACGTCAGTCTGTCTGGTAGATGAAGCTGCTTGTTTGTTTGTTTATCTGATTAATGACGGTGATAGAGAACGTGTGTTAGTTTTTATTTAATTTAATTGGTACAAGCAGTGTTTAAATGTGATTAATAAATAAATCTAACACAAAGATAATAATTTAATGATTAAGCTTCAACTTTTAATTTGCTGGCAAAGACTGAAGACACTGCAGGTATGGCAGGATGAATTGCATTTAAACAGGAAATAAAGTCATTTATTACATCTACTCAAATGTGTGTAATTAAGTATTCTATATATGTGTGTGTGTGTGTGTGTGTGTAATTGCTCTTTTAGCTACTTTTGCCTGAACCTAACACTATAAGTGAAACAAGGCATTTCTTGAGTTGCTGTAAATTATGCTATAAAACATATTTACTGTCTCATTCCAGAAAACAACAACAAACAACAACATCCTTCATGATGGACAGACATCATGGACACCACAGCAGCAGCTGTCTTCACTGAAACATCCTGAACATGATCGTCACTGACATGAGGCCTCTGTCCATGGTTGAAGACGAAGGCTTCACTACAATAATCCACACTTTTAATCCAGGTTACAATAATCCACACTTTT